CATAGAGCGTCACGTCTACAAAGTCCTGTACCAACAGAAACTACTCTCCCTTAACTGCACCTAACCTTTATATGGTATGTAGTGAAAAATATTACCTCTCTGCTCAGTTTGAAGAGATGCTCAGCTGAATAAGTGGGCGAGACTGTGATGGACATGCTACAGAATGTTCATTTGAGAAAACATTTCTTTTTATGTCAAGGAAATGTTAAGAGTTGCTGCCATGTTAAATAGACATGTTAAAAATATCCTTTCATGTGTTACTGCTGGCCCCTCAGATCATTAAACCTGAAAGGAAATTAAGAATCTCCTGCACTTTTCACTAGTTATGCATTTTGCTCTTCATTTGCCTTGGCCAGTACTGACAGAGTTTCACACTCTGGTTCTTGCTGCGTTTGGGCTTCGAGTGCCATCGGGGAATGTTTTAATAAAGTCATAGATTTTTAAAGCCAGAAGGGACCATCTTGAGTGCTGGAGAATCTACCGCACTCCTTTGTAAGTTGTTCCAGTGGTTATTTATTCTCACTTGAAGTGGATGAGAACGGTTTAAGTTCGGTGGTAATGCTTGTTGGCTAGAGACCACAAAGGTACAACTGATCCCTCCCCTTGCTCCTTACTTTGGATCACCTGGCTGTCTCCATTTTCAGCACTACAGATAACATGAGTCAAACCCAGTGGTCAGTTATGCAGTGTCAGTCTCGCAGCGTACTTGAGTGGATAGCCAGGGTACTGAAAGCTCCAGGGCTCATCATTTATGTGCTCCGAGGCAGAAGTGCTCCATTACAGTCGTGGGTCATAGTATATGATAGTTACCCCCCACCCCCACCAACTGGAGACCAATGGCAGGTTTGTCATAATAGTCCTTGCTGAGAGGCCAGTTAGGCAGGGGCATCATTTCAGATTGGAGCCGGGGGCGGGGGGTGGATTTTAACCATGATTCCATAGCAATTAGTCGACAGGAGCCCTGTATCTAATTCCTATCCAAAAGAAAGAAAATTAAATAAATATTAGACCCACTCAGCTCTAATACTAACATGTTCCGACATCTTGCGGCAAGTCACTTAAAGGACACTGGTTGGGTGTAAAATTTTGATGTATATTCTTACTTTTTTACTGACTTTGTAGAGAGAGAGAGAGACCCCCCCCCATCAGGACTCCTGGATTCTATCTCAGCTCTTGGAGGGGTCTAATGGGTTACAGCGGGGGAGGGGGACAGCTACATCTGGGTTCTATTAAAGAACATCTGAATAGGCTATACTGGGTAAACCAATGATCCATCTAGCCCAATATTCTGTCTTCCGACAGTGGCCAATGCCAGGTGCCCCAGAGGGAATGAACAGAACAGGTAATCATCAAGTGATCCATCCTGTCACCCACTCCCAGCTTCTGGCAAACAGAGGCTAAGGACACCATCCGTGCCCATCCTGGCTAATAGGCATTGATGGACCTATCCTCCATGAACTTATCAGAACCCTGTTATAGTTTTGGCCTTCACAACATCCCTGGCAAAGAGTTCCAGATGGTGACTGTGAAGAAATACTTCCTTTTGTTTGTTTTAAATCTGCTACCTATTAATTTCATTTGATGACCCTTAGTTCTTGTGTTATGTGAAGGAGTAAATAATATTTCCTTAGTCAATTTTTCTACACCATGATTTTATAGACCTCTATCATGCCCCACACTTAGTCATCTCTTTTCCCACCTGAAAAGTCCCTGTCTTTTTTAATCTCTTCTCATATGGAAGCCGTTCCATCCCCCTGATCGTTTCTGTTGCCCTCTTCCAAATCCAATCTCTTTTTTTGAGATGGGGTGACCACATCTGCACGCAGTATTGAAACTGTGGGCGTACCATGGATTTATATAGAGGCAATATATTTTCTGTCTTATCTATCCCTTTCCAATATTCAGTGAGCTTTTGATGCCCGCTGCACATTGAGTGGAGGTTTTCAGAGAACTATCCACAATGACTCCAAGATCTCTTTCTTGAGCGGTAACAGCGAATTTAAACTCTCTCATTTTGTATGTACAGTTGGGATTATGTTTTCCAATGTGCATTACTTTGCATTTATCAACATTGAATTTCATCTGCCATTTTGTTGGCCAGTCACCCAGTTTTCTGAGATCCTTTTGTAGCTCTTCGCAGTCTGTCTGGGACTTAAGTATCATCTGCAAATTTTGCCACCTCAGATTACCCTTTTTTCCAGATCATTTATAACAGTCTCAGTACAGACCCCTGGGGAACACCACTATTTTCTGCTCTCCATTCTTACCATTTATTCCTACCCTTTGTTTCCTATCTTTTAACTGGAGTGTCTGGCAATGCTTTCAGGCTCATCTGAGCCTTAATTTAATAATGCCTTTTGTTATCTTAATCACCCTGCCTCTGTCTGTAAACAAACTCCCTCCCCCAATCGTGGAAGCTGGGAGCAGCACAGAACTCATCACATATCACACTGTAGAGCTCCCTCTGGGGCTAGGGCATGTGCTGTGAGCCGACCTCAGGTACAAAACATGGGGGGAGGGTAGAGCCCCCTGCCCTCCCTAAATGGTGCCCCTGCAGTTAGGGTCTCCTGCTAGCAGAGTGGTATTTCCCCTTTGAAACAACGGCTCCAAGAAATTTGTGCTAAGTCAATAGGATCTAGTGGGCAGGGAATGTCACCCAAGAGAGGCTCTTAACACAATGCAGAGAATGGACTCTTCCCCAGACTCCACTGGTCTCCTGGCTATGCACAGGCATGGCTTAGGTTCACCCCATTTCCTGGTGGTCTCCTTTATATCAAAAATGGCCAGCACATATATAGGTTTTGGGCAGCTGTGCTCAATAAAGGGCTCTCCCTACCCCACCCCCAATCTGCTCATGGAAAGCTGCTGGCAAACACCACACCCTTTAAAATACAATGTGTGCTTGGTTCTTCCTGATTGCTGTCACCTGCAGCTTCCCAAGAGGAAGGTTGGTCTTGGAAGTAATCAGTTCAGAGACTCTAGCCTCAGGGTGAACACTTTAGGCAAGCTGCTCTTACTAAAGTTTTCCAAAAGCCATTTTTAATCCAGTGGCTCAGTTTGTTTAGGGGGTCCACTCTCTGCACCAAAACCCATGCACCCTGATCAGTTCCTTTTGGGTCAATCTCAGGCTGTGGTTAATACATTCTCAGCTGTTGAGCGTGTTCTGGCCCCCTGGCTCCATTTTGCAGCTTTTTAATTTTAGGCTTGTTCTAGCTTCTGGGAGAGGGCATGGGTGTGCGCGTTATTTCCTTTGTCTGCAGTAACTCCTGTGTGTTCTCTTGTTACTTTGTGAGCTTACTGGGCTGTGATAGCTCCTGGCGATTGTCTAGAGCACCAATGCAGGAAAACTAGTTTATTTGTGAACTTGAACTAGATAAATTCATGGAGGATAGGTCCATTAGTGATTATTAGCCAGGATGGACAGGGATGGTGGCCCTAGCCTCTGTTTTCCCTCTGGGGCACCTGGCATTGGCCACTGTCTGAAGACAGGATATTGGGCTAGATGGACCTTTGGTCCAATCCACTATGGCCGTTCATTTTGCCTAATTTGGAGCAAGTGGTCTGACCGAACCCTTTCTGAGTCTCTTGGTAAGCTCTGTATTATTGGAATGAGACACTGTCAGGCTCCAAGTTAACAGAGTTGCACTAAGGCCAGGCTGGTTCTTCAGTTCCAAGTGGAATGTCTAACCTGATCTTGTGTTCATAGGAGTAGAAGGCTTTGGCTGGGGAATGGGTGGCTACTTCAACAAATGTGCCGGCGGGGGTTTCTGTTTTAAAACCGGTTTCAGAGGAATAGCCGTGTTAGTCTGTATTCGCAAAAAGAAAAGGAGTACTTGTGGCACCTTAGAGACTAACCAATTTATTTGAGCATGAGCTACAGCTCACTTCATCAGATGCATACCGTGGAAACTGTGAGCTACAGCTACAGTTTCCACGGTATGCATCTGATGAAGTGAGCTGTAGCTCACGCTCAAATAAATTGGTTAGTCTCTAAGGTGCCACAAGTCCTCCTTTTCTTTTTGTTTTAAAACCAACTCTTCTCCATCAACTAGACTAGATATGAATAGCCATAAAATGTGATTTGTCCAAAGCAGTGGCTCTAGCATAAGAGGTAAGAATGAGTGAACTAGTTTCTGTGGTAACATAGCTGACATCTCCATTGGAAAAAATAGCCCCTTCCCAATCTGAATGGAACAGCTGTGAAAATGTTACAGGTTTGAGTCCAAGACCATCAAGGTAACAGGAAAACAAGCAGTACAAGCCCAGCAGCAGGAAGTAATAACAATGCACAGGGCAATATTACACTTGGTTACAGGGCCTTCCTCTTGGAGAACACACACGAGTTCTGTGCAAAGGCAGGGTGTGAAGATATCTGAAGTGTAATAGCAACCCTCTGCTGCTGGGGTAATTTTGAGCTACCCACTGAATTGAGGCTAATGTGATGTGAACAAACTCAGGCTGCTGGCCAGTGCTCTCTGAGCAGCATTGAACCACCTCTGAAGTTGGCACCAGCCATAAAGAAAAGCCTGTTCCTTGCTGCATGTCAGGTGAGGCTGGCTAACGGCCAGGGCAGCGCAGAGACGCTGAAAGTGCAGGCAGAAGTCTTAACAGCTTCAGGCTGGGGGCTTGCAGAAGCTGGCCAGAAGCCCAGAGGCAGCTGGTTGGTGAAACATGGCAGGACGGGGGCGTGACAAAGTGCTCCATGCACTGCAAACACCCACAAGGTATACTGAGGGAATTGTTTTGCTAGCCTGCCCCCTTTAATTTTCTGGCTCAGTGGATGCTTCAGGCTGAGTGGTACTGGTGCTGCTGGTTGTAACATCTGCCCCCTTTGTCACTGCACCTCTTCAGGACCCTGTTCCTTGCACCCTTCCCAAATACCAGCTTAGGTCACTGTTCTAAATTGTAGCTTGCTTGTTTCCTGCCTTTGCCCAAGCACAGGGCTGAGTGGGTGAGAGCAGAACCAGAGAGAGGACAACACTCCAAACCGTCACAACTCATAGAAAATAAGTGGTACGTTTATTGAACCCACTGAATGCTACTTCTAGCCTTTATTCAGACACTTGTGCTCAGCTTCGAGAGCCAAGAATTTCTCCATTATCATCATTCAATGTGAATGACACTATACATGAATCCAGTGCAGGAAGCGGGGCTCTCCTCTGTTCTAATGAGGGAGATAGGTTTCTATTTCTGTTCCTCTTTTTGGTTGCACAAGGTTAGCCCTTCCTTAGGGCACATGGAATAAAATACTATATTGCATACTATATACATTTACATACAATGGTAAATGCACCAGTTAAAAATACACAATACCCAAGGCTCAATGGAAAAGCTTGGTTGAAACAGCTTCTCTCCCCTTTAGAAAAAAGGAGACCATGACAGTTGCAGAAGTTGCCATACATTATGTTCCTGTCTGGGTCAAAGTGAACCCTGCCATTTGTCTTAAGCAGCAAGACTCCTGCTATATAAGGCTGGAGAAGGAGTAAAAAAAGCTGGTTCCAGAGCCACTCTCCTCCATGCAGTGAGACAGGGGAAGTTGGAATTTAGACGCCCATTGGCTCAGTGAGAAAGAAAACAACCACTCCAGCCACCAGCAGGACGAGTTCATCAGAATTCATCTCCTGCAACTGTCTGGGTATTACTTTTCCAAGTGTGGCCAACCTCAGAGAAAAGCAAACCCCCCCCCAATGCAGCTGGACAATTGTCCCCACAATAGAAGCCCCAGTCCCTTGGCAGCAGAGCTGCCTTTACTCTCACTAAGCTATCTGGCTTGGTACAGGGGGTGAGTGTGTCTCTTAATTCACAAGGATCAGGGCCTTGTTCTTTTGCACCAAGGGAGGATCAACAAACTCTACTCTGAGTGCCCTGGATCTTGCCTAGATTGCTCCTACTCAGTTATCTATCCTATCCCTTCAATGGATCTGGCACCCCTGAGGATGTCATCTGCTCAGAAGCTAAGTGCGAGTCAGAGGATGTTCCTGTTTGACCCCATTCCTCTCTCACTGATGTCCACTGAAGAAACTAGCTTTGTGGCCTGGTATCTTCTGGACCCTGCCATCATGTGGATGCTGATGCAGCCCCAGAAAAGAACTGGACCACTCTTCCCCAAATCAGTAATGCCTGGGAAATATGCAAGAGAGGAAGCAGCTAGTAGGACATGATCCTCAGTTATATTCAGCAGCATGGCTTAGAGCCTTTGCAACCAGGGGCCTTAGACTAACTTATCAAGCCCATTCCCAGGAGGAGGTAGAGGAAATATTCTATTGTTAGAGGACAACCTCTGTTCCCCTCCCTCTGGAAGACAACAGACAGATTCTTTATGACAACTTCTGCAAGCCTCTGCTCCTTCACCTAGCTCCCTGGGCACAGCTGCAGGCAGGACCAGGCAGTCCACTTTACAACACCCCCCCTCTCTGAGCAGGGAGCCTAAGCGGAGGATGCTGTTGAGGGGAGCCACACAGTTTACGAACAGCAGGACCCGTCTCCAAAGAACAAACTCCATGTGCAAGGAGGAAGAGGGAATGTTGCCTTTCATGGCTGGCATTAAAACTGCTCCCCAAAGTTGGGGTTCTCCCGATTCCCCCTTCTCTAGGCTGCAGTGGCTCTTTCTGCTACAACAGTGCAATTACCACATCGCTATCAACAACAAAGGCCAGGTGCTGCACCCCAAACCTGTCACAACTGGAAGACATTAACCCTCTAAGTACTGAGCATTTCAGACAGTAGTAGTATAGGAGTCTGAAAAATCCCAGTCTTCAAAGGGTTAGCATGCTCTCTTCTGGGTGGGGGGAGGGAAGCCCACAGATGTTCCCTGGGCTCACAGTCTCCTCCTGGAGCAGCCGCTACACTTTGTGCAATTTCCTTTTCTTTGTGTCTCTCTTACAAAAGTTTTGTAACAAACCATTAATATTTAGGGGCTTGATTCGCACTGGGTGCAACAGTCTCGCTGGACCTCCTGCAATGACATCCCAGGCAGCAGCCAGAGCGGGAAGGGCTCCTGTCACCATCCCAAGATCTTGGCTGCTGTTCTTTTCTCTAGTTTTTTGACTGACAAGAGATGCCATCGTAGTGTATTTTCCACCTGGCTTTTATATCCATGGATAGACAGCACCATGCATCCATCAGCACCAGGGCAGGGGCTTCCACCTCAGCTCCAGCTGGAATTCTGCAGTTCCTCGCGGAGCCACGTGGGAAGGGGCTGCCCAAGTCTGTTCATCAGCTTGGATAACTCGATGTTGTGCTCTCGATAGAAGTCTGTGAGGAACAGCCGAGACTGCAGGGGGAAGAGAAGACCTCACGTTAGCAAGGGTTACATGCAGTCCTCTCTCTGCCCTGAAAGGCATCGTGTAGTCCCCATATCTCAGAAAATCCACTGACACTGCACCTTGTCCCTAATTGGCTGAGAGCGCTCTCCCCTTCAACCCACTATGCCTCTTCCAGGCAAGGCACATTTCCCCAAGCTGGTTACTCACCGAGGAATCCATGTCAGGATACTTCCTTCCTTTACTCTTTCCCAAGCATTTAGTCTTCCCTCCGTCTAGCACCTGGCACCAAAATCCTTTTGCTTCATCAAACCTGAAAAGGACACACTTAGTTAAAAATCCTAGGGAAGGAAACGTGTATCTGTCTGTGTTGCTGACTCCAGTTCAAAGATTTTAAAATCTAATTCATTTTGCACTTTGTTTCTTTTTCGTGGCGTGCCTCTTGGCTGTGACAATGAAAAGCACTCTTTTACTTTTGGTTCTAATGCATGGCAAGTCAATTTCACGTTCAGGTTCAGGTAAAATGTTGTGGTGACCACCAGGAAAATGGAATTTTAGAGGCTGTTTCCATAGGAACTTACACTAATAGAATTTTTTTAACAGTTAGTTTAAAACAAACAAAAACACCCTCCCTTTATGCCACACTGATTTGACAGCTTCCGATGGTGCTCAAAGCCTCAACTCCTGGGCACCTTACGTTATTAAAATACAGATCTAATGAAAACCTCCATCTAGTCCCTAAAATGGGCCACATATCAACTTACCACACAAATTCTCAGGGCTGCAAGCTGACCAACCCTGCTTCCTCCTCATCTGCTGCTTCAGCAGTTGCAGGTCATAAGTGACCCACGGCAACTGAAGATGGGGGAGTGTCTATAGTTCCACTAATCCATCACAGCTGCTCCAACAGAGAGCCAAACAGTCCTAATCCCTGACATTTCTCTAATGCCATTCTCCCAAGTGAAGTTTCGCTGCACTGTTTTGGACAGGTCCGCTGTCACGCAGGCCATATCTGTGTCTGAGCTGGAAAAGGAACTCAGACCTGACTCTGAATCCTTTACGACTATACGATGCCTCTTCTAACAATTCCTCAGGCATATCTGGGACCCAATCAGACCCATCAGTCTCCTTCCCAACACCAATGGGAGAGGTCCCTCACCTCACAATAATATATAGCCTCCAATTTAATATATAACTTACCAGAGACTCAAAAAGGGTTTGGCCAGAGCAGTTGCTCCAAATTAGGTGAAATCAACATAAGAACAGCCATACTGGGTCAGACCAATGGTTCATCCAGCCCAGTATCCTGTCTTCTGACAGTGGCCAATGCCAGGTACCCCAGAGGGAATGAACAGAACAGGTAATCATCAAGTGACCCATCCCCTGTCGCCCATTCCCAACTTTTGGCAAACAGAGACTAGGGATACCATCCCTGCCCACCCTGGCTAACCGCCACTGATGGACCTATCCTCCATGAACTTATCTAGTTCTTCTTTGAACCCTGTTATAGTGTTGGCCTTCACAAAAATCCTCTGGCAAAGAGTTGCACAGGTTGACTGTGCCTTGTGTGAAGAAATACTTCCTTTTGTTTGTTTTAAACCTGCTACCTATTAAGTTCATTAGGTGACCTCCTAGTTCCTGTGTTATGTGAAGGAGTAAATAACACTTTCTTAGTCAGTTTTTCCACACCAGTCATGATTTTATAAACCTCTATCATATCCCCCTTAGTCATCTCTTTTCCAAGATGAAAATCCCTGTTTTATTAATCTCTTCTCATACGGAAGCTGTTCCAGACACCTAATAATTTTTGTTGTCCTTTTCTGAACATTTGCCAATTCCAATATATCTTTTTTGAGATGGGGCGACCACATCTGCATACAGCATTCAAGATGTGGGCGTACCATGGGTTTATATAGAGGCAGTATGATATTTTCTGTCTTATCTATCCCTTTCCTAATGATTCCCAAAATTGTTAGCTTTTTTGACTGTTGCTATACATTGAGTGGATGTTTTCAGAGAACTGTCCACAATGACTCCCAAGATCTCTTTCTTGAGTGGTAACAGCTAATTTAGACCCCATCATTTTATATGTATAGTTGGGATTATGTTTTCCAATGTGCATTACTTTGCATTTATCGATATTGAATCTGATCTGCCACTTTGTTGCCCAGTTTTGAGAAATCCTTTTGTAGCTCTTCGTAGTCTGCCTGAGACTTAACTATCTTGAGTAGTTTTGTATCATCTGCAAATTTTGCCACCTCACCGTGTACCCCTTTCTCCAGATCATTTATGAGTATGTTGAACAGTTCCGGTCTCAGTATAGACCCCTGAGGGACAACACTATTTACCTCTCTCCATTCTGAAAACTGACCATTTATTCCTTGGTCTAGATGAAGTTGTGATCTGACCTTCCCACCTTGTATCTCCCTAGCCCAAAGATAATATCCAGAGTGTGTCATACAGCAGAAATGAAACAGCAAAAGTCCTAGTCCGTTGGTGACACCATGAGGTACTGAACAAAAACTCAAGGAATTACGGTTCCAGGTAATTTCAGTATCCACATCAACAGCAAGTCTTGATGACTTCAGTGTCAAGGTCAAAAAGGGCTCAGCTCAGGAAGGGATCTAGGACAATGTTAGATTACTTCTACATCAGCAAGCGGGGGACACCACACGACGAGTCCAAATACAGGGTGATGTCGTGCCTACAAAAAGAATAACCAGACCTCTCTACCATCCCAAGCTCATTCTTGGCTCATGTGAAGCTTAGTGACCAGGTGGATGAAGGCCAGCAGCATTTTCCAGCCAGCTTTGGGAATCAAGTGCTTAAGCATGTTGTTAGATCACATAAGCACAGTAGGGAAGCTTATTTAAACTCACCACACCAGTCAGGCCAACTTGCAATCCCTTCTCAGGAGAGGCCAGGGACAGAGCTCGTGACAGACCAACTCTTGTTTCACCTGAGATGAAGGTCATGAGTAAGCTCACAATGCAGCTGCCTAGCAATATTAGCAGTGATACGCACATACTGACGAATCCTTACTTGAGGGCCTGGGTGTAGTTGAAGAGTGGTGTCACCCCCAGAAACTTCTGGATGTTCTCCATGATGGAAGCAGGGCTGTGCCGGAGCTCCTGGCCATCCACAATCAGAATCTGAAACAATAGAGAGTCCACAAAGCTTTCAGTGTGAGCTAAGTCAGCCTCTGGCACCAAACCAGGGAGCAGCCCCTCTGAACCAGGACATTCCCCCGGGAGCACTGTCCATGCCCTAATACCTGCGGCTTACAACCCTCAAAGAGCCTGAGGGGAAAAGCTAGTGCTGTTCCTCTTTTGGGTGCTGGCCCTTTGTTACTGGAGACAGAAGAGTCCTAATGTGACCAATATTTACAACATAAAAGCAGCTCAAAACTGAGTGTCACTTTTTTCACTTGACAGTTGCCACACAACGGCCTGTAACTGAGCACCTAGCCTCAGCACTAGCCATCAATTACATGCATCCTTTTTGACAGCCGATGCTTCCTTTTTACATAACAATCTGCTCTGGCTCATTTCCCTCCCTCGGAGGATGACAGATATTAACCATCAGTCTCTTCGTACTAGCTGGACTATCCATTAAAGAGGAAATCGTTCAAAAGAAATGACCTGGGGTGAGTTCTGGGGAGCTGGGCCCTAGACCACTCCAGATCCAGTAGTGAAACAGAAGCACTTGGCCACAGAAGGAGATGGCTTTTGGCAATTTTGATGGTAGGTCAGGCACTGTGGGGAGGCGACGTATCTCTTTGCAGACACTGAAGTTGACCTCAGAGCGGGCGAGCTGCTTTTCCTCTCCTGCTCTGGGGCAGGTATCTTCTAGTGGCAGGAGGTGGTGATGGAAGGGCCCCTGCGTCTCACCTATCACCTAGTCACTCTGTGATAAACCTGCATGGACACAAACCACTGCAAAGAACTGTGGGGTATTTGCAAAGAGTTCGAGAATCCTTCTCCATGCAATTAGTTCATTGTCCAGGGCAGACCAAAAGCTCTGCTCCTTGTGTGTCCAGAATCCCAGGCCAAAGAAATAACTACAGGAAGCTGTGCTCCAGTTCTGTACAACCATTACACCATTAGCAGTTTGGGGGTGGGGGTGGGGGATTCCTCTTTGGAGAAACCTAGTTTTTAAGACCAGTTCTTTCTTAAAGAGGCCATTAAAATGCCCCCAGTCACTCTGGCCGTGAGACTGGAAGGTGCAGGGCTTCTGCAGCTGCACCATTTCAGCCAGGAAAGGGAGGCAATCTTATGCAAATCTCTGTTGCCAGTTATGGTAGGTAGCTTTTGTAAATCAAAGTGGAGAGATCCCATTGCTTATATAGGGAGAGAAAGTCTAGGCTTCCAGCTCAGACAGCAGGTCACAGGTCCACAGGACAGTTCTAGTAATAATGAGGATTCAGTGAATAAATGATATATCGCTTTCCATCCATCACTGCCACAGCACACTCCCGAATCACTTCGTGCTGTGATCCTGTTTACTGGGTAACTGCAGCTCAGCAGATTTGTGACTTGGGCAGTGGCTCCACGCTGTCAGGCCTATGCTCCCTCCACTCAGAGCCCAGTTGTCTGACCTCAGCTCTGCAGATCTGTGCTTGTAACTAAGCCCTTTGCTTCTCTCCAGGATGGGCCATGCGCTTTGTGGGTCCTGGAGAAGTAGTGTTTCCTGGGTCAGTCTTCCAAAGGTGACATGTCCATATCCTTTTGCATAACCAGCTCCTACAGGGTATGTCTTCATTGCAGAGTTTACTTGGGTGTTGTCCCTAGCCCCACTCCTGTCCCCACACAAATGCTCTGAGCTGAATGGTGCTTTAAACCCACGCTAGCTGGTTTCTCTGGGAGCATGGGCTAGTGGGCTGCTGCTGCATTCAGACTGGTAACCCTCCCACTTTGCAGAGAGGACACAGACTAAATCACTTCAGTGCCAGTAAGCCTCCAGCGCCTTCCCTCTATTCCCCAGAAGAACAGACAAGTTCTCCTTCAATTGACTAGAAAAGGATGATAGAGCAGCTCAGCTTACTGCAGCGCTGAGAACCATGGGAGATGCCCCGTGAGGTAAGTGACACACACAAGGGACAGCAGCACCAGTGAGGATGCAGTAGCTTGAGTAGGGCTTTGCAGTGTGGCTGCTCACCCCCAGGCCAGGCTAACCTAAGTGCTGATCACCCAAGTTAACTCTCCAGTAGGGATATCCACAGTCTTATTCTAAAGTGTCCTAGTCCCTGCCCGGTGTGGTAGCCAATGCTTGACACTCATTCTGTAGAGAATGCAAAGTCAGCCAGAGAGGAGAGCTCAGGTGATTTTGTACAGAGCAGGAGGGCTCCCTAGTTCCATGTTTTCACAGTGCTCCAGCGTAGTTGTGATTAGTTCAGCTGAAGAGTTTTCTTGCTGTATTATGTCCTGACATCATTTTAAGTGCCGTCTTCCGCTAAGAGGGTATTGTCCTCTCTTCACTCTCATCTGTTCTAACAGCTTGAATACGAAGGCAGGGAGATGTGAGCCCAGGGATGTGCCCGCACACTTTATGCAGGACAGACTCCTTCCACCATCTCCCTGGCTCTGACCACCAGATGAAAGTGCTAGCTTGTCTCCTGCGCTGAGGATGCTGCTGCTGCCGCCTTTCCAGTTGCTGCATTTGAATTAACTGGCGGGGGGTTGCAAACCGTTGGCTTAAGCCAGAATTCTCCAGATGTGGAGGGAACAGCCCAGGGCCGGGGCTCTCGCTGGACAATATACTGCCTTAGAGGAGATGCAATGTCTGTTACTCCTATTCACTGCAATTGCACCACAACTCGTCTGCTCTGGTCAGGCTCTGGCTCTGCTACGACAGCAACAAGGCCATGAACACAGAGCCCGGCTTTGTTTTACCTTTGCCTGTTAAAGTTCTACAGCCGTACTACGTTTTCTGAGAAGCAGAACCACTGCCCGGTCTTAGAGCTATTGCTGCTGCAGGGAATAAGTGCCTCAAAACGCATGATGGGATCTGTTGGTTCATGCACCACCTGAGACTAACTCTGGCAACAGAAGTCGAGTTCTAGGCAATCTTGCTTTACATCTGTCAGCAAAGAGAAGTTGCTAAAATGCTTTCTGACTCTGAGCACACAAGGCAGTTTGTAAATGTCTTGTCACAACGAAGGCAGATTCAGAGACAGATACGAGCTGTAGTTTGTGTGGACCAACCTAGAAATCTATAAACAGAAGGCAGGCAGCACTCCAGAATTCGGCAGTCTGGGGACTCCAGACACCTGCAGTAAAACCCACACTCAGCAGCGCTACAGGCTTCATGAGCTGGAGAAGAAACAAGTGAACGTGACAAGCAACAGAGCCCCAAAGCCTCTGGTGAAAGCCAGGGTATCACAGCAGTAGCGGAACACCCACTGGGCACCGTGACTGCCCCAGGGGGACACACTGCCGAGACAAAAGGGAGAGACGCTAAGGTTGCAGTAAGCTAGTGCTTCCTGGGCCTCCTAACGCTGCTGTGCGGGCTGGGAGCTCAGCCACCTACTATACACAGGCACTAGGAAACCTGTAGACACTCGACCCTGACTGGATAGACACGATCAGTAACAAATCAGCCTGATTCTCTATCAGGTAACATGGAGGGAAGGAAGCAGCAGTTTATATTCCCCTCCCCAAAAAAGAGTCGTAAGTTACAGTGAAGAGAGAATGAGACAGACGGGGAGTTTCCTGTCTCTACAGTCACCAAGCTGAACTCTGAAAAGCCAGCTCGTTCCCTGTCCACCGTGCTTCACTCGGGACTGGGGCTTTCTGACTCTCTTCCCCAGAGTTACTGATGTCTGAGCAGCACTGATCCAGAATAATCTTCTGCCAATTACTAGAGACAGGGCCAAGCACAGCAGAGCTCTGTACCTGCCCAGAGGGGTAATACGTCAGCCATCGTTCCAGGTGAGTCGAATACATTCCAGGGAGCAGGCATCGGCTCTGCAGGTTGCGCAGCTCCAGGTGGGCCTGGGATTTCGCAGTAATCACCTGGTAGAAGGTGTAATTGAGAGCCACAGGGTCGCTGTGAGCACGCTGGTGCTGGGAAACAAACACATGGTTAGGTCGTCAGAACACAGAACTCTGCCCTTCCCTAGCCAATGTGCACGCAGCCCCCTGCTCTCTGCTGCCCTGGGGCAGCACAAACACACCCCAGTTCTCCTGTGAACAAATCCACATGCTCCCATCAGTACTAACCTACCCCAGCCTCCCAGGAGAAATCCATTCACCCAGGAGCTGCTTGCCACACTGGAGCAGATCTCCAGCCCTCCCCAGGGCCCCCCGGGAAGGGGTGATACCTGGTACCAGGAGTAGGCTCGGATGGCCGGGTTGATCAGAATGGAGATGATTTTGGCTCGTGGAAGCAGGGCTGCGCCACGCTTCGGTACCACCTCTGTGTCAAAGTAATTGGCACTTTTCTCAAACATGAAGTCTGTGCTGGCGTTGGAGGGGATGGGGAAGAATTCCATGTACCTGCCAAGCAGAGCAAACCAGGACAACTTGATGGCACACGTGTGGGGAGCACAACCCAGCAGAAAAGTGGCACAGGGCAAACCAGCCTGCTGGCACCTCAGAACTGTATAGGGCATGCAGAGGAGCTTGGGGTGGCCAAGCCCATAGAATCATAGAATATCAGGGTTGGAAGGGACCCCAGAAGGTCATCTAGTCCAACCCCCTGCTCGAAGCAGGACCAATTCCCAGTTAAATCATCCCAGCCAGGGCTTTGTCAAGCCTGACCTTAAAAACCTCTAAGGAAGGAGATTCTACCACCTCCCTAGGTAACGCATTCCAGTGTTTCACCACCCTCTTAGTGAAAAAGTTTTTCCTAATATCCAATCTAAACCTCCCCCACTGCAACTTGAGAGTCAATGAGGGGATGACACAGAACGGGGATAGTAGGGAACAGGGGTAGAGTCTGATGTGGAGTAGGAAGGGGTGCGATAAGGGGCGAAGACATTGCCCTGTGAGCAGGGCACAGCACTCTCGGGTGGTGCCTGGAACTAGCTGGGGATGTAGACAGGCCTCAGAATTATTCCCCCAGGTCTCAGCTTTCAGTAAAAACAAGTGAGCCTCTAGCTATTGTGTGAAGAACAAAAGACAGCCCAGTGGGTAGCATGCTAGCCGGGACTTGAAGATCTGCGTTCAAGTCCCTGCTCTGCCACTGACTTGCTGCATGACCTTGGTCAAGTCATTTAGTCTCTCTGTGCCTCAGTTTCCCCCCCTCTGTAGAACAGGGACATGAGCCCTGCCCTGCCTCACAGGAGTGCTGTGAGGATAAACACACTATAGATTGTGAGGTGCTCAGATACTAGGGAGATGGGGCACCTACAAGAACCTTAGGGCTTGTCTTCACAGTAAAGTTATCTTGAGTTATATCCGTATAATTCCGAGTGGATACTTTCATTCTGGATAAGGAGTGCTCACATAGGGGTCTACACTGGTATAACTAGAGCAGTATAAAAATCCCCCATGTAGACAAGCAGACAGAACAACCAAACCAAGTGTAGGAGACAAAGACATCTGCTTGGGTCCGTAGAGAACTTAACTCTGAGGTGAGAACTGCCCTGTCCATCTCAATGGGCACTAATTCAGGCCTTGTCTACACTAGCTATACTGGTATAGCTATACCGGCAAACCCTCCTAGTGGAAATGCAGCTTATGCTGGCAAAGGAGTACCTTTGCTGGTCCTGGGTGGTCCAACCTTTTCACTGCTGTGTGGGGCTCTTCCACGGACCACCTACATAAATACGTGCTCTACAAAATGACGTTCTCCAAGCAGCGTGACCTCGCGTGTACAGTGCAATCAAGGCCATGTCATAGGGAGGATGCTATTTTGTCGAGTAGATCTGTTGCAGGCTGGACACATTCGGGCTTGGAGAGAATCGGCCTGTGGGACACATCCGGCCCACGGGCCACGAGTTGGGCCACTCACCGCTTCACCAAACAAACGTAGCTATGCACTGGCAAATGGACTTATACTGGCAACCCCTTTTTAGTATTGGGGTTTTGCCACATTTGTTACCAATTTAGCTATGCCAGAAAAACCTTTGCTTTGAAAAATCTCAGATCTAAGTGAGAATATTTTAAACATGAACACATCAGAGCATGTGACAAGGAGAGCAAGTATTGTATGGCGATTTCCCCAGGCTGCTCTTGGGCAGACATTCACAGCACATGCAGGGCTGCAGGAGCATGCATGGCTTTCAAAGTTTAGGAAACGCTGGGCTCAGGGCTTATAGCAGGGGTGTAGCTGGGGCGTAGCAAGTGGAGAAACAGATCAAGACAGTGAGCACCCAGAGGTGCAACGTACCGGACAGAAATGGAGGGCTTGCTAAAACGCTTGAGGTGGATGGAGCCCAGGGACACTCAGGAGGGCGCAACATGACGACCAATCCCTATAGGGGAGCACAAGAGCTAGGATGCTTACCAGTCAATTCCTTTATGATAGTTGGGCCCATTGAAGAACTGGATCTCTTCGAAGGAGGCTGGGCTCGGGAAGTTACTAGTGACCGCTGGGTGCATGGTCAGGAAGAAGTGCACAGCTGTTGTGCCTACAACGAGCAACAACGATTAGTGGAGCTTGGGTCACCCAAGGAACTGAAAGAGGTGGGGGGCGGAGGAGAGGCTTGTGTCTCCTGACAACTCTGCTGAGCACAGCGAGAGCTTCCAGCATGTCTATGGTCAGCCAAGCCAGGTGTCCTTACTACGCAGCGACAGTGCGGCATGGGCACAGAGCACAAGAGCTGCCAGGGGCATAGGCACACCAGCAGAGATCCCCAATGACTCCTGTGAGGGGGATGGCAGCTGGGCTGGGAAGAGGTTCACCGATAGGGCTGAGGGTCCCATTCTACACAAATGGCTGGCACCTGTCAATTGCTGGAAGCGGTTCCTCAGCTCAATACCTCTCTAGCCAAATCACTGCCACAGCAATTCCAGATGAGTTACCGACCCATGCACAGATCTAGTCCCAGCCCCTGTGCAGTGCGTCAGCGTGAGAGCCGTTAGGGCACAGGCCTGTTACTGGGAAGGCGCTAGGGGGCACATCGGCTCGTGTGGGTAAACCAAGAGGCTGCACTACTTCTCGCCGTGACTCAGCAGGGCAGTAGGAGCAGTGTGCTGACGGAGGTGCTGCGCTTTGGGTGGGACAAACCAGAGACCCTAATCACGTGTGATCGCTGGCTACTGCCGTGCAGATCCACGAACGGTCCATCTGCACCGGAGGCAGGAGTTTATCTTTAAATGGGCTGAACAATTACCAGTTTTCTGGGGTCCAACAACAAGGAACTTGGGGAGCCGGTCACATGTTTTCTCTTTGGACCAGATATCCTTGTGCCTCTTATCGTCACAGGGATTCTGCACAACAGAGAGAACAGGATTTAATATTAGCAAGGGAGCTGATGACGGCTCCTGCGGATAGAGTGTAACCCACAAGGAACAATTCACAACTACATCCCCATTCTGCTGAGTACTGGCAGGCTGCACTACACAGACCAAGGCGCAGGAACAGCTTCCAAAGCACTCAAATGATTTAGGAGCCTAAGTCCCTTTTGAAAGTGTGACCCGCAATTCCTGTCCAAAGAAACCAAGATGTGGGCCCATCATCATTGCTGGGCTGAGCAGCAATCCCTGCCCTGCTGCTGTTACAGCACAGCCACTCTGGCAGACAGACAGTTCTACCCCCTTCAGTTCATTTCATCTGCTCATTAACATGCAGAGAGCTGCTGTGCTGGGATGAAATGGAATAAGCAAGTTTTGATTTAACCAACATGAATTCTATAGCGTGAAATTATGTCCGGAGGCGTCACAGTAACATGCCTGCAAGCTCTGCCAGCCCCACAGACGTTCCTCCCCCCATGGTTATATCCTCAACTAGCCAAGTACCTGGGACCCCCTCCAGGCCCATGAGAGCTCTCTGTCCCCACAGCTCGCACCAGGAGTGTGGCCCATCACTCCCTTCCCCCAATGTCACGTCTTTGGGATCTGGGGAGCGAGGCAACAAGGACCAAAACCCACGGCCATGCGACTCACCCCTCTGGGCACTGGAGTGGTAGGAGTGGCAACCCTTCCCTCTCCATGTACCTTCCAAAGAGAGAGCAGCCTCCTGCAAGAGGCCACGGGGAGGAGTCCTGAATGGCCAAGGGAGATCAGAACAGCCTGCTCACCTGCCACAGTGGGTTCTTCTCCTGGGGAAAGATTTCAAAGTACTTTTTTGCCAGCTGGACAGGAGGCAGAGTCTGCAGGCGAAGGTTGGTCCAGCATTGCACAAACTTGACCAAGCTCTCAAAAGTGTACAGCCCCAGCCGGTCGTTCCCATAATTAGACAGGTGCGTCATGAAGATGCTGATCTGCAAACAGGGAACACAAGAAGCATTTACAAGTCAGGTAACAGCCCTGCGTCATCCCAGCCTGCTCTCTGCCACCCTACTGCATCCCACCACCAGACTTAGAAGCTGCTGACTTCCGAGGCCTGCTCTGGCTGTCTGAGCTGGTGAATGTGCATCCCTCCTAGGCTATGGGGCAAAGGTAAGAGACTATATTATGCCCCCGGGGTTACTGCTCTGCAATCCACACCTCTGCTCCAGGCAATGGGTGCCCCGGGAGAGGGAAGTGGGTGATTCTCCAAATAGCCCCAATTGGGCTAGTCCGTGAAAATCCCAAGTGCAGACCATGTGTGAATCAGAATGCGTTCTCCGCCAGAGCCCCAGCACAGTTACTAGCACTGCAGACAGTTGGAACAGGGAGCCCGCTCAGCCCTTACAAAACACTGACTGGTGGAGACAGGACCTACCCTGGATCCTAGCTCTCCCGGCAAGCGCGCTGTGCATTCCCAGAGACAGCAACTCACCTCTCCTAGGAGCCCCAGACCCAGACACGCACAAGACAAACACATTCCCACCCTGCACAAGCCACGGCTCCACATTCCAGGTGACCACAGGATAGTTTTGGAAGCCGGGCTGAGGCCAAAGTAGTGATTTGTCCACAGTGACCCTTTTCAAGCAGTCAACAGCTCGGAAAGCCCCTGTCCAGGAGGGAATTGGAAGCAGAATCTCCTGTGTGCTCAGAACTGGAATTCAGTTCCTCCTCCTCTTCCCATTGCTAGAGGGGGTCACAAGCCGTGAGAGCAGGGCACTCGCTGCACTGGCTGCGGCATGTGCCAGCTTGAACAGGGGACACGGAGACCTCGGAAGGGGAGTGCTGGGGCTGGCTTTGACTGCCAGGCAATGCCCTGGCAGAAGCAATCCAGGGCAGACTGGATGATCTCACAGGAGTCTCCCAGATCCCGAGTCTGTGGGAAGCCAGCTTTGACTCACCAGCAGCGTGAGGAACAATCTTGGCTTCACTCTTTAAAGCACTAAAAATACACCAAGACCTGAGCCTTGGGGTGTGGCCATCCCTGCCTGTCCTCTCGCCAGGGAACAGACATCATAGAATCCCAGACTATCAGGGTTAGAAGAAACCTCAGGAGGTCATCTAGTCCAACCCCCTGCTCAAAGCAGGACCATCACCAACTAAATCAACATCCTCCATCAAAAGGTCCTCCCAGGGGGTGTGGGCATCCCCCTGCGGAACTTCTTGCCAACTGTTGGGCATGGGACCCTCCCGAAGCTCAGGAACATGTGCATATCCTCCCTAAACCCCCAGGAGGGTACCTTCTGCCCACCAGGTTACGGGGCTCTGCAGACGCACTCAGGCCTGCAGCGAACACGAGGTCTTGCATTCACCCTGCCTTGCTGAGCAACCTACTTTCATAATTGCATTCGTTTGTCCACGGCTTTGACGGCTCGGTCCCTGTGACGCTCCAGTGCACAACTAGGCACAGAAACGCTGCAAGGCCAAAAGGTCAGCAGCACAGCAGGGGGCACCTCACTGAGAACACTGGGAAGGAAGCAGGTGGTTTAGCACCGCAGGGTACAAGAGGGGCCTGGGCAATCATGTGGGCACCCACTGGTGGAAAGCTGGAGGCGAATCACTGTGAGGATGGGGGAGCAGGTCCACCTGGCAAGGTGAGAGGATCGGGCTCAGGAGTAGCTGTCCATGCATCAGGAGAAAGCATCCATTTCCTCCAACTGCTTGGGGAGCCACCTGATAGACAGGGATCATTGCACAACAACCCCTTTCTCACCACTGACACAGCCCTCCTGCATTGGGGGAGGAGAGGATTCAGTCCCAACACCGGCTTGCTCGGGACGCTGCCAGGGTGACAAACGTGGCATACAACGGGGGCAGTCAAATCTCCAGGCCTGCCATGACCAGTTCTGGTAACATCATTGCCCATAAATGGTCCCAAGCAAGAGGAATCGCAACCAGCCAAGCCAACCAGGACTTGCAGGGCCACTGCCCTCCTCTTCCTACTGAGTCTGGCTGTCTCGTAACAGTATAACATGCATACCCCAACAGATCAGCCCTGGTGGTCTGCTCTGCCCTGGCTGGTCCTGCCAACACAGCCCTGAGCGAGCCTGCTGATGTAATCTATGACCAAACCCTGCCCCTCAACTGACCCATGACTAGCTTGGCAGTAAGGCCCCATCTGCAGCATGGCATGATCTCCCCTGCTCAGCACTGACAAGGAGCTGTAGACAGAGAAGCCTGGAGTTCAGAGAACAGATGATGAGGGAAACTTTAGGAATATAAAGCAACAGCTGTGGGTATAGCAATGGCCTGTATGGCATGTAGTGTGAACAAAAGGGCCTGTGAGAAGTGCTCAGAAACATCCCCCTCTGCTGCTAGGAAATACAGCCAGGGCATGTGGCAGCCTGTAGGCGTCTATTCTCATGCCTGAGATCAAGGCTTGCTCACTAGTCAGAAAATCAAACATCATCTGTTGACACTGCAGAGTTAACCATACACCCAGGACTCCTGCACGTGGGCCACACTCCAGCGGGCTGGAAGCACCACAAAGGAGTGCAAAGAGGCTGTGCCCCAGTCTGCTACGGATCACTGATAGTGATGTGGGGCTGGTGGCTTTCTCCAAACACTGGGATGTCTCTATCAGTGGGGTCGCACTTTGCTAGCTCTGGGCTCCCTCTGCAAACAGGAGCAGTGAAGATGTGTTGACAGCACAGCCCTCCGCTGCTTGCAGGGATGAAGGGAAGAAATGAGGGAGAAATACCCAGCAGAAGGAAAGGTGCAAATACAGGAAAAGACTGAAGGAACTCAGAGGAGGCTAGAGAGTCACAGTGGGGAGCCAAAGCCAAGGTGCATGGTGCTCTGGGGACAGTTTTATCTGCTAGAGGACACCACAGCCCTTGAGAGATGCCAAGGCAGTGCCTGAAGTGGGCAGCCAAGGCCTGGCTGTACTGCAGTGGGGCTCTTGGAGGGGTGGGGTGGAGTTCAGTTCACCTTACACCACACTGAAAGCACCAGATATTATGACAGACACAAGTCACAGCCTCTGGGCAGGCAGTGAGCCACAGAACTGAGCTTGTCCAGAGTGTTGCCGATGATACAGTTCCACTTAAAATTTCTCTTTTAATAAGTCATACATATGCTGAAATGGCTCCTCACCCAACTCTCATATTCCATATAAACAGACCGAATACTACATATCTGTGGGGAAAGTGAGTAGTTAAGCATGTTGATGTATATACAAAGGGGGGTGTTGGCAAGGACAGGGAGAGAGCGAGGGGGCCCTGGGCTGGGGGCGGTGTCATGTGGAGGGTCACATGAGAGGGTCACATGCTCCCCCTTGTGTCCCTCCCATAAGTGCAATACCAGCAAGAAATGATTTCTACTTGCACCACTGACTGGACACCACAGCCCGGGAGTCTGTTTGCAGGTGACTGAAGAAGGGGAACAGCCAGCGTGGGTTGGTGATTTGCACATTAGGACACAGTCATCTGGTCACCACTTTTTACATAACAAAACTGCCCTCTTGAATAGAGAGGGGGAGCCCGGTGGATTGTGATCTCTGGATTTCAGCAAGGCCTTTGGCCCAGTGGCCAAATTCAGACACTGGAACAGACAGAAAAGAGTAGGGAAGATGAGCTGAAATGATCCAAGAGACCAGAGAATGATGAACTTGTGAGAGAAGATGAGAGTAATAATGGTGGTTCCCCTTAAGCTGTGAGGCTCGTTATAGGGGTGGAAAACAGTAACTCTGACTGGGTAATAATAACCACACCAAGACAGGACATTTCTAGGGGACAGGAGGAGTAAACTGGTTTAAGTTTAACAAAGGAAATTAGGGAAGATCTTTGGACCCAAGACCTATGAGAAAGGGGAATATCTTGCTTCGACATACTCACTAGGTATCTGTAAGGAAAGAGAAGGTTTGGGAAGTTTAGCAAGGGGTGACAGGCAGAGGGATGGACTACGAAATGCAAGGCCCCTTCCAACTGCCTCCCTCTCAATTTTCTGAACCTGACCATCTGAGCCCACTGTCTCCCCGTTTATTTCTCTGGATTTAAAAGGATAGAGGTGGGAAAGCCCCCAGCCAGCATCCACAGCAGAAAGCTGGGAAGAGACTGGAAGGTGCAAAGGCAGTGCATTACTCCGGAGTTTGCTGGAGCCAGGCAGTGATTGAGGGGGCAGGAAAGAGCTGTGTCAGACCTGGATCTCCTGAAAATGCCTCAGGCAGGACAGTTGCATCACAGGAAAAACATATAACAAACTGTTTCACATGTATCCAAGTTTCAAGGAAATGGATTGGGGGTGGGGAGGGGGAAGGGGACACACCCTAGCAATGAAACCCCAGGAGGATTTGTCACAGCGCCTGGAGACAAGCCAACTGCAGCCAGATGCACAAGCAATAAAGGGAGCCAAGTACTTTTGGCTCAGCAATTCGTTGGGGGAAGACTACAGCACGGGTAAGAGCAGCTCCAGCATCTGACTGGGCTCAGCATGCCAGCCCCTTCTTCCAATCCTGTGCTTGGGGAGGTTTGCTCTGGCTGACCCTAAACTCTGATACGAACTGACAGAGGACAACAGGGTTTGCCAAGAATTCCCTTAAGTAGCAAGGGCTGCTTTAGCCTTTACTGTCCAGATAAGCAGCTGCCCGCCCTTCCCCCAGCTCTCGCTCTCCCACCCTAATAGCTAACCATTCTAGGCAAACCTTGTGTAGTCTGCGGAAGAGAAGAATGAGGGGGGATCTGATAGCTGATTTCAACTACCTGAAAGGGGGTTCCAAAGAGGATGGATCTAGACTGTTCTCAGTGGTAGCTGATGACAGATCAAGGAGAAATGGTCTCAAGTTGCAGTGGGGGAGGTTTAGGTTGGATATTAGGGAAAACTTTCTCACTAGGAGGATGGTGAAACACTGGAATGCGTTACCTAGGGAGGTGGTGGAATCTCCTTCCTTAGATATTTCTAAGGTCAGGCTTGACAAAGCCCTGGCTGGGATGATGTAGTTGGGGATTGGTCCTGCTTTGAGCAGGGGGTTGGACTAGATGACCTCCTGAGGTCCCTTCCAACCCTGATATTCTACGATTCTATGAGGGCTTCCACCCTCGCACTCTCCATGGACACTGAGAATGGGCCCGGCAAGCTTACTGGGTTCAGAAGCACTGTCAGGAAGAGTTCACCGCCCCGAATGCTTTTGTCCAACTCCTTGGAGCCCCCAGGATACTCGTTGTAGAAGATGGTGTGAGTAAAAAGCCCACACGTCTGTCGAGGCAGCACCTAGTGAAGCCAGAGAGAGGGAACGTTACAGAGGAGGCTGAGTGCATGGGTGTGTCGAGGCAGCACCCTACAGAATGACATGGAGAGGACGCCACGAACAAGGGACCCCAAGCGTCACAGGTTTACAGGATTCAGACTTTCCCCTCATTCACATGCTCATCCTGCTCTGAGTAACGGCACAGGGGGTTAGTGGGATCTCAGCTTCATGCTAGCGTGCATAGTTCTTTATCACATTCCCACAGGGGCTGACCCATACATCTAACACATAGGTCAGGACAGGTGCTGCAGACATGCCTCCTCAGAAAGAGCCCTGGAGTCTGAAAAGGAGAAGTCTGCTCGTGCAGAGATGGTGTTTTCATGGGCCTGGATGCATAGCTTTGTAGACGTGTAGACTTGCTTGCGTTTGGGAGTTTTTATTCTAAAACCTCACGTACCGTAGCCTCTGCACTGCACTGACTCCAATCACAGATGCACACCAACCGGCTCTTTCTCAGCTTTGACGGATGGTTTTGGGAAGGTTCAGCACTCGAGGTACCAGGTGGAGCTTCTCAACACTGGTCACCTAGAAGGCCCCCCCCATCAGCAGACTGCCACCATAGCTCCTCCCAGAAATAACCCAACAGGCTCCACTCTCCCAGCTGGTAACACTCACCATGATGCCGTTATGGATAAACCCTCGCCGGTACCGGGCAGGCCGCAGGTGGGGATACTCCTCAGTGCTGGTCACCTGGATGCCCCAGATGGATTTCCAGGCCTCATAGAGCTGTGTGTGGATGGGATAAACTCCAGAATGATGGGGGGCCACAGCATAGCCCAAGTCTGTGGGGATCCCATGTTCCTGGAAGCAGAACACAGCTTTCGCTCAGTATTTAACTCCCCATTGTCTTTAATGAGAACCACAACAGCACGAGCAGACTCTCTGGGGACGCTGTGTGAAATGGGAAGCTCTGAGTACTACCAGAATCTATCAGCACATGTAGCAAAGGTGTTTATACATCAACCAGGGCGTTCAGCACCGCAGCAGCAGCTGAACAGCCACGGGTCACTTGGGCTGTGACAAACTGGACTAATTCACCGGCCTGACGTCAGCCCCACCGGTTACAACGGCCAAACTGATCAGTGCTGCTGAAGAGGCAAATCCTGCTCCTAACTCTGTCCAGAGGAGCGTCACCAGAGCAGAAAAGCAAAACCATACCTGCCAAGTGTGGAGGGAAGGGAAGACTGCAGCTTGGCTCAGTCTTTGAGAGAGTAATGCTAGCGACAGCAGGGAGCAAGGGGGCTGTGCAGAGTGGATCGGGGACTTGGATCCAGGTATTACATCAAATCAATAGGAAATATTTGAATTTTGTGGCTAGAACTTCACAGAATGGTTCTGGTAGCAACAGAAATTAGGACAGCTTTGCCCTGGTGGTTTACAATACACCTGGGGCCCTCTGACAGAGTCACAGCCTGTCATGCTCATTGGCTAGGGTATTCTATATTAAGTGTGTTTAATTGCTCTCTGAGTTTTGTATCTCTTTGCAACGGACTGTCACATTTCTGGGCCTGTGTCTGAAAGAAAATAAAATCAGATATTTAAGCAGGGAAGACAAGAGGTAAACTGTCGTTATAGCATTGTGGTAGCTGTGCTCTGAGGTTAGGAGCACCCATGTTACCCAGGGTCAAGAGGTCCAGTGAGTGGGGCATGAAACAACAGACTCTTACTCCAGTGAGGCTTGGCTTATAACTGATAAACCCATAGCATGGGCTGAAGAGAGGCTTGTTTTCAAAGGAATCTGCAGATGTTTCACCCCTGTGCCGTCAGTATTAAGCATATATGGCCCCAACAGCCCAGGACTTTCCAGACGGTCCTCTCCCTCCACATGACAACATGGAACTTTCTTTAAATTGAAGTGATTCTCTGGGAGGCCAATGTTCATACGTTGAGCATCCTATGGTACTGATCAGCTGAGGGCAACGCACACCTGGCTCCCTGAAAAACCTCAATGAAGCAACAGGGACAGAGCAGGGAATGCTTCTTTACAGTCTGAGTTTGTACCATACTTTGAATTGGATACTAGAAGTAGCACCAGAATGACTCAACAGCCACAATGCCCCATGCCCACACCCTAGGAGCCATGCTTTGCAATGTAGTAGGAGCCACACATTGGTGCACAAGTACCAGGACACACGTTCCCTTGGGCACTAATGCTGGGTGTCACACTTCGAGGCAGTAGGGACCAAGCACCAGGCCAGGGATTCACACTCAGCTTTCCAATCCAGCAGGATTACCACATTAGTGCCTAGGCTCAGCAGGAGCCAAGCACCCATTCCGGTGTGGATGCTTTGGGATTTTGAAGCAAAGCGAAGGAGCCTATGGACCACTGACATCACCTCTTACCAGCGCAAACTGCTTGTTGAGCTTCATCTGCTCAGCCAACACGGTGACGTTGTGGAAGAGGTGAGGCTGCATGTGACTCCACATGTGCGGGAACCACCAGAACTCCTTCCTGTGTTTAAGTAGCATGTCATCGCCTTCATCTTCCTCATCTGTACCTGCAGGGAGCAGAAGGTCCACAGCAGGAGGGTGGTCAGTGACCTGAGGCAGTGGCTAATCTCAGTGTAATTCAACACTGGCAGCACCCAGAGACATCCTGCATTAGTTTTACACACACCTGCCATACTCAGGGTGCTTCCAATACCATCATCCTGCTGGTGCTCAGCTCACAAGAGCTGAAGGAAATATTCGATTGGACAGACAGCGCTTTAGAACCACAGACGCTGTAGGGGAGCTGTGCTACACTATGGGACACTGCAACCAGAGGACACAGACTCAGGGGAATGCTAGGTGGGTGGAAGGAGCTTACCTGTGTGGTAGAATTTCCCAGAGAAGCCCAAGTTGAAAGTGAAATTGGGGACTAATGTTCTCAGCTTGTTCTGAGTGTTCAGGAGAGCCTGTTCAAATGGAACGGGAGAAAGAAAGATTCACATTCAATTGCTCAATTCCAGTTCAGTTCTGGAAGGAGGTACACTAGTACGGAACCCTGTTGTCCTCCATTGTGGCAAGGCACCGTACTCCCTGGAGCAGTGGTTCTGAACCCGCAGCCCAATCAGCACACAGCTGTGGCCCACGTGACATTCTCAGGGCCATATGGGTATTGTATATATTGTGTGGATGCAGCCCACATAACACATAGAGAGCTGTATATGCGGCCCACAATGGTAAATAGGTTGAAAATCATTGCCCTGGAGTGAAGCATGAAGCAGGACCATGAGAGCTAAGAGGAGGAATGAAACGGACTCTTCGTGCCGGCTGGTGATACAGGGCAGGGTGCTGATCATTGTCACCATATTGATTATTTCTGGAGTGCCAACGATGCGCTTGAAGTTGTCCAAGAACCTGCACTAACCTAGCCACCCAAACCCTTTCTGGTCAAGGGGCTACTAGCCTCTCTCCTCCAGAATGAAAGGCCAGAAACTTCAGCTCCCCCTCCTCACTCAGATGTCAATGGCAACAAATGTGTAATGAGCCTGGGATGATGGGTAAGACCAACATTCAAGGCTAGGCTCCAATCCCCACTGTGCTCATGGGACTATCCCATTCCTAATCCCCCAAGGGAACCAATGCGTTAGGGGAAATATGGTCTATGACATCTTCTGGAACCTATGGTAAGGGCTAGTTTACATTAGAAGTGCTAGAGCGGTGCAGCTGCACCGCATCCGGTGAAGCTGCTCTGTGCCAATGGGAGAGAGCTCTCCTCTCAGCATAATACAAAACCACCTCTGCGAGCGTGTCAGCAGGAGACATAGCACTGATCACACCGACGCTGAGGTTGGTGTAACTCACGTCACTCGTGGGTGGCTGATTCACAGCCTTGAGCGACATAACCTGTAGTGTAGACAAGCCCTAAGTTCATCTAGTGCTTTGGAAAGATTCAGCCTGGCAGTTCTGCAACCAAAGGCTTCACAGGACAGGGCAGCATGGGCAATGGCAATGCAAGGGTGAATCTCCATACCTGCTCTGTTTCTGTGGTTTGGACACCTGCTTCACCAGGATTACCTGCTTCACAACTGAGATCCCCAACTCATTTCACATAGGGCACTCATTACACATGGTTCAGAGCAACAGCTTTCGATCAGACCAACCAAATTCATAAGGAGAGGCAGTTCCCGTGCTACTCGGCTGCATCTGCCCCCATAACCTAGCCATGAAAAGCTCCACCTTTATTACCATCTCCAGAGCCATCCTCCTTTCTCTGTGGGAGTGAAAGAGGTCTCCAGCTACTCCCTTTGCTGGGAAGGTGAGAGAGAAGAGAGGAGGCTAAGGAGCTTAACATTCCTCTACAGAGGGATGTTTAAAGCCTGGCTTGGGTTACCATAACAACACTTCTGTCAGCTAATAAATCCTACATAACTCTGCTTCAGAGTGGACAGCAAAATCTACTGCTCAGAGAGAGGCACCCTGGGAAAGAGGTGGGGCAAAGGGAGCCCAGAATCATAGAATATCAGGGTTGGAAGGGACCCCAGAAGGTCATCTAGTCCAACCCCCTGCTCAAAGCAGGACCAATCCCCAACTAAATCATCCCAGTGAGGGCTTTGTCAAGCCTGACCTTAAAAATATCTAACGGAGGAGATTCCACCACCTCCCTAGGTAACGCATTCCAGTGTTTCACCACCCTCCTAGTGAAAAAGTTTTTCCTAATATCCAACCTAAACCTCCCCCACTGCAACTTGAGACCATTACTCCTTGTCCTGTCATCTGCTATCACTGAGAACAGTCTAGAGCCATCCTCTTTGGAACCCCCTTTCAGGTAGTTGAAAGCCGCTATCAAATCCCCCCTCATTCTTCTCTTCCGCAGACTAAACAATCCCAGTTCCCTCAGCCTCTCCTCATAAGTCATGTGTTCCAGTCCCTTAATCATTTTTGTTACCCTCTGCTGGACGTTTTCCAATTTTTCCACATCCTTCTTGTAGTGTGGGGCCCAAAACTGGACACAGTACTCCAGATGAGGTCTCAACAATATCCAATAGAGGGGAACGATCACGTCTCTCGATCTGCTGGCAATGCCCCTACGTATACATCCCAAAATGCCATTGGCCTTCTTGGCAACAAGGGCACACTGTTGACTCATATCCAGCTTCTCGTCCACTGTAACCCCTAGGTCCTTTTCTGCAGAACTGCTGCCGAGCCATTCGGTCCCTAGTCTGTAGTGGTGCATGGGATTCTTCCGTCCTAAGTACAGGACTCTGCACTTGTCCTTGTTGAACTTCATCAGATTTCTTTTGGCCCAATCCTCTAATTTGTCTAGGTTCCTCTGTATCCTATCCCTACCCTCCAGCATATCTACCTCTCCACCCAGTTTAGTGTCATCTGCAAACTTGCTGAGGGTGCAATCCACACCATCCTCCAGATCATTTATGAAGATATTGAACAAAACCAGCCCAGGAACTCAGACTACGTAGAGTATTATCATGCTGCTTTCCAGGAAGGTCTGTTCTTTATGATGTGCTAGACCTTCTACTGACTACTGGTCCTTCATAAGAGCTCACTCAGAAAACAGTACCACACAGGTTCAATCCCACTCACACAACCCCCTGCTGGGCTGGATAAGAGAAATAGGAACCAACCAGGGCCTGCACTGGAAATTCCTCCAACCTTCTCCTGATGAACTGATACAAACAGGTGAGTGATCCCTCATCAGTAAAGGGGGGTGTGTGTCTTTATAATGGAAGGGAGGGAGTGTGAGGACTGGCAGGCAGGAGACCTGGGCTCTAGTCCCATCCCTGCCAGTCGCTCAGTTTATTTTCCCTCCCTATACTCACCTCTTAGGGTGCTGTGAGGTGTAGTTCATTACCATGTGGAAAGTGCTCTGAGATGTTTGGAGGCAAGGTGCCAGAGAAGGGCACAGTGTTATATTTACTAGCACATGAAGTAACCAGACAACTGCAGGCAGGTCCTCAGCCCCACACTCTGCTCATATGACACCGAACGTAGTCTGTTAGTCGCCCTCTACCCCAAGAAACTGCCAGCTTCCTCAGCTGGTGGAAAAGGGGGAGCCTACCTGTGGTCCCGGCTCTTCTTTTCAGCAGCCTGACCACAGGCCAGAAAACCTCCCTCCGGATTCCAGCAAACTCAGACCTAGTCTTATTTTTGCTTTGAATCCCTTGGAGAGCTCTGAATATCTCTATTTGATATCCTCTACTTACCACCATTTGAAGGCTCCTACTGGAATGTAATAATCCTGCTCTTAGCTAGCCAAAAGGGCCACTGTTGGCTAACAAGCACTGCTGGCTCCAGGAAACAAGAGACTGGGATTCAAATGCAGCTCACTACCATTAACTCGCCAGGCCAGCCCAGATCCAACCTGCCTTACAATTGCTATAATCCGATGGAGAATGTCCTCCGGATTCTAAGGCCTGATTTTGAAGATGTCTCAATCCAGCCTGTAATCAGCTGAGAGAACAAAACTGCAGGCACAAGCAATGGATACCTAAATTCCACCACCCAGATTTGTGTGCACAATAAAGATGATGAGGAGTACTTGTGGCACCTTAGAGACTAACCAATTTATTTGAGCATCTCTAAGGTGCCACAAGTACTCCTTTTCTTTTTGCGAATACAGACTAACACGGCTGTTCCTCTGATACCTGTCATTAATAAAGATGATGTCTACATTCTATCACTTGGGCCTTCAATTAATTACCCTCACAACTGGGGGGCTTTAAAAATTATCCTAGGATCCTAAATATTTATTTAAAAACACACATTGGAAAGAAATTAAAAGAAAAGCCCCCATCTTGGTGTGACCATTTTAAAACAAAGTCTGCATGCTCCCACTGCTGGCTCTGCAGAAGAATGCACCAACAATCACTACAAACTCCTGATGTTGCTGGTGCACAGACACAGCTATTTCTATGGGGGTTAGGACATCGGGGGGGAAGGGGGAGAAGAAACAAATTAGCCCTGACTGTATTTTGTTCAATGTGGCTATTTAAGCCGCCAATCCTTTTCTAACATGGCATTATGGTCCTAGACATCACAGTGTTATATGGCTGAACAGTCCTTTATATGACTGGACCTTTTTTAGATGTAAAATGTTTCACTTTAGATGTAAAATGAGGTAACTCCCTTCTCTTCATGTGTCAGTATATAATGCCTACATCTGTAATTTTCACTCCATGCATCTGAAGAAGTGGGTTTTTTATCCACGAAAGCTTATGCCCAAATAAATGTTAGTCTTTAAGATGCCACTGGACTTCTTGTTTTCACTGAAGAGAGCTTTTCACTATTCAGCACAAAACCTCTCTCTCTCTCTCACACACACACACACACGAAGAGAGAAAAGAAAGTGGAAAGGAGACAGGTAAGGAACGGGGGCTCGGGGGAGAAGAAGAAAGAAACAACAAGGCTGAGGGGGAAAGAATGTGCGGAAGAAACAAGAGAGGAGAAAACACAGAGAAAAGCAGACGGGAGGAAAGCAGAGTGCCCAGCTTGGCTCTGAGCTGGTGACAATCCTGCATACTCGCACACAGGACAGACTCCCCCTGCTTCGAAACTGCACCCACGGCAACTGGACTGCATCTGCTTTGGGAATTTTCTGCAGTTTTCCCACTGTTGCTCCAGCCGTGGTGTAGCTCAAACAGTGCTAGCAACAGTGGAAGCACTGCTGCAGACAGATCCAAGCATTTTTAGTGCTCCCACCAACGCTAGCACCAGGGGGAAAACTGCTAAATATTCTCTGTTTAGGCAAGGACAGACTGTAGGATTCAAAGGGGTAAGTACCAGGATGCCCCAGCCACTGTCAGACAGTCATCTGAATTCCTTTCTTCTATCTACCTTCACCAGTGACGTGCAATCATTGGCCTACACCAGCTGCTAAGCTACCAGACTCACCAAACAAGACTGCTCACCAAATGACTAGACAACTTGTGTTCTTTTAGAGGTGATCTGCAAAGGAGCAAACATTAGACTTGTGGGTTTGGTTTTGGTTTTTTTGGGCGGTGCTTATTTGTGATGCATAAGGAGGGCCTGAAAGGATTGGGGAGGTTAGATAGAAAAACAGGGTTCTGTTATATTAGAAATATCTCGTCCTGACTTTCAGTTTGGCTGGCAGATTCTGTGGCAGATGGGAGAACTAGCAGGATTATGGATTCGCAAGAGATTGAAAACTGAATGAGTGAGAGGGGAAGGGATTCTCTGAACTCTGGGAAAACTTTTTTGTTGTTAACTATGTAACTCCAATTCTTGACAAACACTTGGGAGAAAAGTTCACCCTATGAAAGGTCCACTCCTGGATTTAACTGAAGGCTGAGAACGCTCCCATGCCAATTTTTCAGCAAGAACAAGTAGTCAAGGGCTAATAACAAGCAGGAATTTTTTTAAAAAAAGAAAACATTCCCCCTGCCCAAGTCACCTATAACTGGCACACATTTGGCCAAGAAACATGGAGGGTTTTCATCCTCCCTGGGGATCTACGGAGTTCCTTGAATGTAGATCTGTGAACTGAAACAGCCTGGCTGAGACAGCAGTCATCTCTGGGACCTGAAGCAACGGTCGCTTCCCAATCTGCCCTCCCTATCTGCTGTCATCTAATCTAAACTTTAAAATAAAGAGCCGTAGTGGTGCAGTAATGTCCCTGAAATCCAGAGTTCATGTTAAAAGCCCAAAGAAACACCAGCTGTTTTGTCACTGTTAGGATCCCCTCCCCTCCCCACAGCACAAGGCCATTAATAAATCCATGAAGTTAGTTCTTGCTTTAAACAAATAAAAATTTTCCTGGTGCTGCAATCACAGAGCCTCTTTTAAATGGATAAATCTGGGCTTTATCTGCTTTGCCTGAGATTCTCCATTTACTGATCTCAGATTATTCCTCCATTTCACAGTTAAACCCAAAATGAAACATCTTTTAGAATTATCTGGTCTGGGTTGGTTTTTTAAATCACTAGAGCAGACTTGTGTCCTGTTTCCAGGGCTTAGGCCAATTGTCTCCTGCTTCCCTCCCAGGGTCAGTGCTCTGCACAGCTAGGAATGGGGTCCCCACCTTTCCCAGTTTGGGGAGGGGTGTCCTGGCTGGGATAATGTAGACCAGTGTCCTTTGAGCTAGGCTTTCATGACACCTGAATGTCCCAAAACACAGAGCTGCAACTGGGATTCACAGTGCCTGGGGCAAGGTATAAGTGCAGCCCCAGGGTGAGCTGTGTACAAATACAGAAGTAATTGTTTGGCACATACTGTCAGCAACCACTTAGCAAAACAATTAATGATTTACTTACAATACCTGCCCCTTGTTTCACTGGTCCAAGGCTTGTGCCTTCTCTCTCTCCCCCTTTGTGTTTCCCTCTTTATCTCCCTTCCACCCTCATTTCCTCTTATTTTACACTCCAAAAAAAATTTCAGTTTTTCTTTCACATTCACAAGATCTTCAGGAATTATTGCTATTTCCCATATAAAAAAACAATTAAAAAAAAAAGGTCAGCACACAAAGTAGCAACTCATACTGAACTCCCTGCTGACACAGAAACAACACAAAAGACAGTCAGTTCCCTTGTGAGAGACAATTTTACCAGAAGAAAAATTAGGTGGGAGTAACCACACATATGACAGCAAGCCATGTAACACTGAACAAGACCACTTTTCTGCACATAGTAAGAACCAGTAACACTTTGAAGGAGCCAGAGGATGCGGCTGAGACTTTTAGTCTAAATTCCATCAATTACAGTTTCAATGGATGGCAGAGTAACTTTGAGGAGGATTAGATAGATGTTTAAGTATTATAGGGCAGTTCTTAAATAATAGATGAGATATTGATAATTGATGAAGTGAGCTGTAGCTCACGAAAGCTTATGCTCAAATAAATTTGTTAGTCTCTAAGGTGCCACTAGTCTTCCTTTTCTTTTAGATGAGATATAGTAGCTCAGCAGGATAGCCTGATCACTTCATTTAAAGTCCCTGGTTCTCTGCGTTAGGTAAAAGCACATACAGTACAAGGGCAATTGCAGAAACACAGGAAATGCCACACCTAAATAGATTCCTGTCCAGATTCCACCTCACTCTCTCCCTGTCCTGTCCTTTTCTGACTCCTTCCTCAGTTATGTCATCATCACTCAGTCATGCAGGGCCACGATCAACAAACCCCCAAAATGGCCCCCCTCAGACTCCTCCCCAGCAGTGAGGCCAAGGGGAGAGCGCCTGGCCTGAGCTCTGGGAGCTGCTCTGTGCATCTCCCCCAACCCTTATTCCCGTGTTGCTGGACACTCCTTACTCCCTACACAACAGGTTATCTGCAGAACTGGGGGTGCACGAGCTGAGAAGAGTAGGTGAGTAACCTGAGGAGAGGAGAGAGCTCCCCACTCTCCCAGGTGCTGTTCTGAAAGGTCACAGGAGGGTTAAACACTAGACTGCAGCAGTTTTATTGGTTGGTGCCCCAGGTGCCAGCCTTCGGGGCTGAGAGAGGACTACAGGCCTCTCTGCATGTGATGCTCTCAACAGAGGCTGCTCAGATGAAGATGGAGCACTGCATTTTGGGACCCCCATGGACTCCATCACTATACTAAAGATGAGAAAGAGTAGACTGCTGCAGTCATTCTCATCTTTAACCTACAAGTGCTATTTCTGAAGGAATTATGTGCCATGCGCTTGTGCAGAATTCATGTCCCTCGCAGATTTCTTTGCTTCCCTGCAGAAAAATGACTTTCTGACAGGGAAGCAAAGGGAAGCTCCAAGAGCGGTCACGCACCCCTCCCTAGTAGTGCAGATAGATCATTTCAGGCACCCGGAGCAGCTGGCGGAGAGGCAGATCACCGCGGGGCTAGGGACACCCCAGCCGGTGGCTCCTACCCTGTGCCAGGATCAGCTGCTAGTCTTGGCTGGGCTGGAGGTGGACGAGGATAGGACTTCTTCTTCCTATGCAAAGAGTGGCTGGGACTGTGTCAGACCCACCCCCAGAAACCTCCCCCTGTTGCAGGAAGCTCAGCATCCTCTCCTGCTTCCTGCCTTTATTGCTCCTCAGCCATGGAGGGAGGGATCACTGTAAAAGGAGCTGCTCCCCCATCCGCTCAACCCCTGTGCATCCGGACCTCCCATACCTGGATCCCCCAGCCAAACCTCACCCTGTACACCCAGAACCAACTCCCCCGCCACCAGCCCTCGATACCAAAACCCCATCCCACTGAACCTCAACCCCTGCATCTGGAGCCCCCCCTGCACCAGACCCCCATCTCTGCCTCCAGACCACCCCCCAACTGAGCTCTCTGCACTCAAACCCCCACCATGATGAGCCCCACCCCCCTGAACCAACCTGAGCCCCCACATCTAGACCCCCACCCCAACAAGCCCCACTCTCCCAGCACCCAAGGCCCCCCACACCCAGACCCCGCACTGAGCCCCACTCACCTTCACCTGGAATCCCCTGCAGAGTCCCATTGCCCCTGCACCTGGAACCCCGCAACGAGCCCTTGTGCATCCGGATCCCCCCACACCTAGACCCCCCCACTGAGCTGCCTGCACCCAGATTGCCCCACACAGAATCCTCTCATCCCACACCTGGATGCCCCCCACACTGAGCCCCTCCATACTTGGATCCTGCCTGGTTGAGTCTGCCTGCCCCACACTTGGTGCGCCTGGCACAGAGGGGCAGGGCCCCATTGTTTCTGGGGAAGGCCCAGGCCTTGTGCTGTGTCAGACGTGGGTGCAGCCTCATCACTGAGTCCATGTCCCAGGGGAGGGGAGGGGCTGCAGGGTGATCTCCCACCTTCATGCAGCCAGTGGCCTGTGCTCCCACTGCCATGCTGCAGTCTCCGCATTTATTTATTGACAAATAAAACTTGCAGAATTTTAAAATACTGTACACAGAATTTTTAATTTTTGGTGCAGGATTCCCTCAGGAGTAAAGTGCAGCCCATGAGGACTACAAGTCCCAGAATGCAATGCTGCATCTTGATCTGGACAGCGTCTGTTGAAAGCATCACATGCTGGGACATGTAGTCCCCATGGACTGCAGTTCTATGATTGCAGCAATCTTAGGGGCAGCCCTGCGGCTCCTGGCAGATTGCCAGTGCAGCCCTTGATTGGACCCAGGGGCCATATTTAGGTGCCATTGGGTTATCCCTTCAGGCTTTACCTCCACATCAGACACCTTCATGCGAGTGCCCTCTTTGCCCACGAATATGTCATCGATGTCCACGAGGATGTAGCGGTCAAGCGTGAGACAGAGGCGCTTGCCAGTCAGGTAGGCAATGGCATCCACAAAAACAAGTTTGTGCAGCCAGAAGTTGAGGTTATTGCCGAAGAGGACCCGCTGGATCCCGTCATGCAGACCCAGGTCCTGCACGACAGTGGCATGCAGTGCTTTGTGGGTGGCCAGCTGAGGAATGGACTCTGAAGACTTTGTGCTGGCCAAGAGCACAGGCTCATAGGTGCTGTGGTTTGACTGGAATACAGTCCAGTCATCACCGGGCAGGGGACCCTGCTCCACCTCATTGGCCCGAGTGATGTAGAGCAGGGGGGCACTAGGGTTGATGTGATAGTCCCGGAGCCCTAGGTTAGAGTGTAGGAAGAGGGGGAATCCCTTGAGCTGAGCACTAAGCAGGCTGTTCTCATTGGCTTTGAAGAACCCTATAATCCCCACTCCATACTCCACACAGTATTTGTCCAGCAGCTCCCGGTTCCAAGCATCTAGGTTCACATATTTAAGGACATTCTCATAGATGATAAGAGCATAGCGGCCCCTGTCCTTGTCTGTCAGGGTGGGCATATCCCCCTTGCCAGGGGCAATCTCTGTCCTGTATTTAAACCGGCTGGATTCCAAGATGGCCACAATTTCCTGCCCCAGCTGGGAGTAAATGCTTTCCACAAAGACTAGCACCACAGGTTCAGTGCGCGAGGTGTCAACGGATTTGGTGAGCCTCCAGCTGGCCCGGGGCGGGATCGGGGGCCTGTGCTGGTTGCTGCAGTCGCTGAAGGGCAGGGGCGGTGGCTCCTTGATTTTGGGGCTGTTGGTGACATAGTAGGCCAGGAAGCACATGGAGATCAGGCTGAAGGCAATGAGCAGCAGGATCAATCTGTGGAGCTCCAGCTGTCGCACGTGCCGCACCACTTTCCACAGCTGAATCATGGTGAGGCGGGTGGCCCACCCCCTCCTCAAGCTTTGCACTCAGGTCGCCCTGGAGATCTCCAGCGCCACCGTGGCAGCATCCAGCAGCAGCTCACAAAGAAGAAACAGTGGCTGCAGAGCAAGGGAAAACTAAAGCGAGCAGCTTCTAGACTAGACTCCCAGGGATCTGCCATTTATCTCAAGTAACCATGGTCCTCAATTCCCATCGCTCCTCTGTGTGCTTCCCCCGCCGCCACTCCTCTCTCTCAGCCAAGTCCTAGGGAAGATGAGGTGTTTTTAAACACCTTTGTTTCCAAGCCCAAATCAGTCAGCCATCCTGTGCGCTGTGTGTGGAGCCGGGGAATCCCACCTGGCAGTCTGTTCCTCAGCTAGCCGCTTGCCATTCACATGATGGCACCTTCTAGCTATACCTGCAGTTAAAGAGAGAGACAGACTTTCAATAAGTGTTCATAATATTTAGCAGGCTACAGGGGCTCAAAATGGTGGGATCAGAGGGGCTGGGGTAGCAGGTGGGCATGGAGGCAGGGGAAGGGCAGTCACAGATCAGCCCAAGCTGCTGGTGGTAGGAAATGCACCATCAGTAAAGGAACTCAGGTGAGCTGAGGAATGACTCCGTTGGGCTTTCTAGGAAGGGATCTGCAGGGAATAGAGATGGTGCTATTCCCTCTGCTGGGATTCTCATACACTGTGATAACAGGAGCCTGCAGCATTTGATGTCCCCCACCCCTCCTTGGGCCATCTAGGGTACTGGGCACAAGAGAGGAATCCCCTTCTACCCAAGCCTCCCTCTCACAAGCAGCAGCACGTGGGCCTCACTTCCCCCCTTTTAACCTACTCCTGTCATAATAATGTTGCCCCTCTTCCCTCCCTCCCCTCCGCCACCCAAATTGCCTGCTACCTTGTGGACTCTAGAGCTACTGCGGTCCCCACTCCCAAGGGAAAGCCTCTCCAATTGCAGCTAGCTCTCTCGCTCCTCCACCCTTGGAATGACACCATCCCAGCTTCCCTGGCTCCTGCTTCGTGAGGCTGCCCTGATTCCAACAGGAGACCCTGCTCCTCCTGAGCTCTCGAACTAATGAGGCCTTCTCGAGTCCCGAGGGACGCTGTTATTTTAACAACAGAGGACACCTACTCCCCACATGCATACCATGAGCTATAGAAAGCAAAGGCAGGGTCAGCAGTTTCATTTTTATACGTGAGGAGGATGCCCAGCGGTGATGCCTTTCCCCAGCATAGGAACTCTGATGCTCAGACGAGTCGGCCAGCTTTCATTTGAACATATATATACTCTGCCAGTGATATGTGCCTGACTGACAACCTTGGAGACTACTGATCTCCGTAACAGGCTCCTTGATTCATCACCAGTGCAAACCTTCCCATGGTACCAATGTGTCTCATATACTGATCTGGGGGCCTTCCCTAGGGCACCTCTAAGGATGAGAAGGGAGTTCAATTAATCTTTGATCTCTGCTGAGACTGCCAACAAGGTCAATTAGTGCCAAGTGACTGGATAGTGATGGGGTGGGAACACCTGCTTACATCTCCCACTTCCCTCTCCATTTCACATAGGCCACTGAAGAGCATCATGCCATCTTTCAGTCCCGCACAGCCCGGGTGCATTTGAGCCAGGTTACAGGTTAAAGCTGTATATCTCATTACTGATCCCCAGCTCTCCTGTCATTTTTATACCAGCAGCCTTGTTTCACCACATGCTGTTATTTTTGCAGGAAAAGATCCCCACAAGGACAGACAAGCACCAATCCTTCCCAGATGCAAACACCAGGGAACTTACAAGATCTGCCCTGATTTCAAAATCACTGCTTCTGTGTCTTTCTCCTTGCCAGAAAAACGGTTACCTAATGCAAAGCAGCTTCCCAGGAACTCACAGGATACAATTACATTTGCTGGGGAGTACATGGATCTCACTCACTCTCATGCACACCCACCCCTTCCCAGCCAGGCAGATGCTGAGCAAGCACCAGGGCCCTGTCACAAGGAAGTACCAGATGTCCCACACTGAGTCAGTCACATGTTCACAATAAGCTCTTTCTGAAAGTCACAAATAAACCTGAAAGACACAGATGCACAATGCACACACAAACATTCCCTCCTCACCCTATGCAACTGGCAAGGCACATCACAGCTGTTTACCAGCAACAAGGACAAGAGAAATGAGGGGCTGCTGAAGTGGACCATTCAGCACCTTTTCCCTGTCCCTCCCTCTTTTTAGCCTTTTTGCTTTGATTTTTATTATTCTAATGTACTTGTATTTCACAACAGAAAAAAACTACATCAGGGAAAAGATCAATTCACAGCTGGGGCCAAAAGTCAAACTGTAAAGGTCCCCACCAGGCTAGTTTCTAAACTCTTGGTATTACTTGAGACAGAGATGACAAAGCAAGTGGGTTGATAAAGATATAAATATACAGCACCACCACCTTTTTACCTGCGGGATGGGGTCAGAATGCTCTTTACTAACATTAAAATTCACAGTGCCTCTTGATCTCAGCTCACCAAGGCAGGGACCACTTCTTTGCATGTGTCTGTGCAGTGGCTAACACAGTGAGGTGCCAAACCTGATAGAAGACATACTTTACACATGGGGAAACTGAGGCACAGGAAGGGTGACTTGCTCAAGGTCACAGTGGAAGGGTGAGGACTAAGAGACCCAAGAATCCTGCTTCCCCATCTCCTGCTGTAATCCTAGACAGCCCTCTTCACTGACAGAGCTGGATTCGGACACAGCTGCCCAGCCAGCAGGGAGATGCTGCATTGCCTTCATCACAGACACACTGACTATTTTTGAAAGCCTGGATTCTAGAAAAGTATACTGGGGGAGTGGGGGGGGCTCAGCACCTCTGAAAATCAGGCTCTTAAGTGTCTCAAAGTCAGACATCCAAAAACTCAACACCAAAACTCACTGGCCCTGACTTGAAAAACAATCAAGAAAATGACTTTTCTGCCTCCACTGTGAGCCTTCCCACGCTAACTCTGCAAAGGGGGCCTCAGCACCATCACCCTCTTGTTTGGCACCAGAACTCTGGAGGCACTTTACATTAAATGAGACAGCACTGAAAGGAGCCAGTGTTCAAAAAAGGGAGGACAGTAGCTGGACAGAAAGAGCCAATGTGTTATGTCCTTTCTATAAGGGAAGTTCCTGCTCTACAGTTGGGTCTACCAGGCATTACAACCCATATATCAATGGGCATTAATTGCTATGAGAAACGCCCTTTACTCTGCTTACAGAAATGCACTTCCCAAGCCCACTCAGGTCCTTGGTTACTCAATCCTGCCAGTGAGAAGGGGTTTTAGGACTGAGAAGCCAATTGCACACCACAGAGCTCAACTTTTCCTCATCCCCCCGCCTTGGGCTGCCACGGAACACACGTCATCTCCACATACACGGCACAAGAGTTTCTTCCTGCAAGGATGGCTTTAAGAAGAACGTAAGGAGGTATCTGTAAGCCAAGGAGCCCATGGGCTCCACACAGAGGTTAACAAATAAATGCTGACTGGACAGAATTTGCAACCTAGAGGCCACTAGAAAGGAAAATCCCACAGTGCCCGAGGCACTGATCTTTAGGGAAGCCTGACAATGCAACCTCAAAAAACAGCCTGGAAAGCAGCACTAGTTCACTTCCCTGGTTCTATTCACCCATCTATTCACCCTCCCCGTCAGTGCTGAACCATGGCTCTCTACAGCACAGCACTGCACCTTCGGTCTTCTGGTTATACTTCTCAAAAGGAGAACTGGAAGACAACTGGATTGTTCTTTTTAAAGTTGGGGTGAGCTGGGATTTAAGTTACCCTGCTGCACCTGCAGTGCCCAGCTGAGGGGCACGAGGGAGGGATACCCCCTGCACTGGGGACTTCTGAATCATGTGAGTGTTTGGATAACAATGACTCCATTCAATGGTCCAGCAACGCTCCCAAACAAGCCCCCATTTGTTACATGGGTGAGCGCAAAAAAACAAGTTAAAAAGAGGCCTGTATCAAATCGCTGCTCAAGAATCTGTCAGTTCTGATCTCTCTAACAAGGCCTCCCAGCCAGAGGGCATGCCAGCTGGCACACCCCGCACTGAGCTCTTTGGGGACTGTTCAGCTGGTTTAGTTAAGAAAGAAAAAAAACATAACAAAAATTACATCAGAAACGGTGAGGGAGGCATCCAGCAGCCACCCCTACCCAAACTGCAAAGCCCAGGCCGATTTCCAGGGGGAGGAATTAAACAGTTCCCTCTTACAGAAAAAGAAATTACCTGTCCTTTCCTGTATAGTGGGTCAAACTCATGAGGATCTAACATTTCAGAAATATCAAGTTCATGGAGAAGTCAGGGTCTGTTCCAGTCTGGGTGTAAGTTTGCCAAGACTGCTTGATCTCAAAAGGTATAGAAGCAGGAGGTCAGAATGTGCAGCCAGGACTAAAAATTACATTAGTCCAAGGTCCCAGACTCACTGTGTTCAGTCCTGCCACAGACGCACTGCTAGATGAATGCGCCAGTGACACTTTTAAGGTTAGCTATCTCGCAAATCTCCAAGGTTAAACCAAATGCTTTGTACCACTTTGAAGCAAAGATTCTCAATTCCACAGCAACACACAGCATTAATGTCAAATTTCAGCTGTTTGTGAAATAAGGAGTACTAAAATCATATTGCAACTGTCGTAGTATAAAAGCAGAATAGGAATCAGAATGATGTGGTTTTAGATCTGCTATGCAGCCATCTGCAAAGGCCTGGAAATTATTTTGTGGGATCAATCCAAAAGCTTTCAAGATCAGTACATGTTCCTAATCCCTGGCTCTGAACCAGTGACCAGAAACAGAGAAGGTCAATCTCCACATTGAGTGCACAGAAACTGAACCCATCTGGGATTCATGGTGTGCCCAGGGACAGGGGAGGTATCAACAGTTTGATAACATCAGCAAGAACTCCTGTCATGTATGGGATCCACCTTCTGACTGCACTACAGAAGGCTCACTGCCCAAGGAAACAACTTTTCTGGTGCAACATTCCCTCCCCCAAACCCACCGGTCATTAATCATCATTTAATGGATTTCCACAATGGCAGGCTCCTCTCCTTTGTCAAAGGACTCCAGTTCTATGCTCTCCTCCCTACACTTCCTATGCAAGAAGAGCTGCTCTGGACACCAAAGACATAGCACAAACTGGTTTATACAGTAGTTACAGAAGGAATCTAATTGATTTTCTAGTCCATTCATTCCACCTTAATACACCATCTCCCAGGGAACACCGCATTTCCTTTTTAAGAATAAGCATTTTTTTAAAGTAGAAATTCCAAATTCTTGGTGCCATCAGGATAAAAACAAAACAAAAGTCAACTCCACAGTGGAGCAAAACTGTGAGACACCCCTGCCTCTCCATTCCTCTACAGCTGGATCAGCACTAGGATCTG